ATTTTATTGTTTTTCCAGAATGTTCCAAAATAACTCTGGAACAAGACCAGTGGGACCACCAGATAGCTATCTAGCCTCACCCTTCTTCCCATGCAAATGAAGACCAAGCCTCCAACCCAGTTTTGGCAGAAACCTCTGTGGGACTCAGGATAACAAGGCCCTCTCCTCAGCTGGGGAAAGGAGGGGCAGCACTCATAACTCTCAGAGTCAGCTCAGAACATCCTCTGAAAAACTGCCTTGAGCAGCAGTTGCCAAGACAAAAGGTCCCACCTCAAGGGTGGAAACACTATTTGTAGCTTTGTAGACACAGGTGTTCTTCCAGAGACTTAAGACCTACAGTGTGGGACAGTGTTTGGCCAGGAATAGCTCAGAAGGCCTTCCCCTCAAAAGCCAGCTCTTGAGGGCTTCAGTGTATGTTCTAACTATATTTGGCAACACAAACCAAAGAGGTCAGTGGCTTAGCTCAGGGGGAGAAAAGGCTATTCCTGAGTTATAATCCCTGCTTCAAACCAGGACCAAGAATTTAAAACTCACTTCACTTATTTATTCTGTATGCACTGAGCTTACTGTTGAAGCAATTCTTCCTCCCAGTCCTACCAGCCCTCCTGTAAACCCTATAGAACCACAGGTGTAAATCACCTACCCAAACTATCCCAGTGGTAGGGGACTCATGGGGACATCTGGCTTGAGAACCTAAATATTAAAAGTTTTCCATTTTACTCCTTATGGCTCTGGAGCATCAAAATAGACCCTTGCACCTGGGTGCACATCCAGGCTCCCCCATTTATTAGTCACTGTGTGACCTTGGCTAAGTTACTTTATGTCTCTGAGGTTCAGTTGCCTTATCTACAAACAGAGATAATAACACCTACTTCACAAGGCTGCTGTGAGAACTAAATAAGATAAGGTATATAAAGTGCTTAGGAGAATATCTGACACCAAGCTCATGCTAAAAAAAGAATTGCTTTCTATTCCCCTCTGTCACTCCCCTCCAACCTTAGCTGTTTAGCTCTTAGAGGAACGGCCTGGTACCTTTGGCTGATTACAAATGGATAGTACCATCACACAGCCACCAACAGTAGCTGCAGATAATAGCTACTTCTCAGCTGTGGACAGGTTGAATCAGCTCACAAATGACTCATCACTGTTGATAAATGATGTGTTCTTGGCATCAAGAGATCCTATCCTGATAAGCTCAGCACCTTGTGGAAAAAATAACAACGACAAACAAACAAAACTCCAGAAGCCTTGCTGAATAGCTTACAAAGAAGCCTAGGATTTGATGGTGACCTTCAGCTAATCCTGACCATGTACCAGACTGGTCATAGGAGGGTCTCTGTCTCCTCAGAAATGTCTGCAGTCACAGGATTAGCAGTGGGAAGGACTCCAGCTGAGCAGCTGCCTCTCCCTTCTCAGAGCTGCACCATTTGAGCTGTACTCGCCTCAGATTCCCTGAAGTCATAAGACTCCTCAGGGAAGGCTAGATGCCTGTTCCCCGCTTACAACAGCCCCAAGCTGGTGCCCAACCTGCCTTTGGCAGCTTGGTCTGGTGGCTGAAGCTCTGCCAATGTGAGGTTTGGCTGGAGGGCCCTGTGGGGACGGGACAAACCCTGGCTGCTCAAGGAAGAGGGAAAGTGTTTGGTCTTTAGCCACTGTCTGTGAGGCTGAAGTATTCACAGTTCTTTGCAGTTTCTGTAGCCCCTTCAGACCACCCCAAATTCACTCCTGGCACAGAAATTCCTTGATGGTGTTTTTAGTCACTCCTTCATTCATAATCCTGTACTTTCCCAGTGCCTAGCACAGAGTTCTCTCCAAGTGAATATTTATTAAGAGGTCCTTAAGGACACCATAGTCTGTGGCTGCATTCATAAACCCTTCAATTCTGGTGAACCTCACAAAACCGTTAAGATCAAACAGGATAATAATCTGTATAAGATGGACACTCATCAACAGCCAGGTGCCAATAACTGAGGCCTTGTATAGAAATTTCATGTTCTAGGGTCTTCTTTCTCCTAAACTGAAACTGCAGCCAGTTGCAGTGTAATCCCAGCAAGTCTGTAATTCCAGTAAATTGGAGGCTAAGGAGGATCACAAGTTCAAAGCCAACTTCATCAATTTAGTGTGGGACTCCATCTCAGAATAAAAATAAAATGGGCTGGGGGCATAGAGCACCCTGGAGTTCAATCCCCAGTCAAAAATAAATAAATAAAAATTGAAGAAGAAGAGGAAGAGGAGGAGGAGAAGGAGGAGGAGAAGGAGAAGGAGGAGAGGAAGGAAGAAAGAAAAGAAAGAAACTGCTTCAGAATCAGATTGTCTGTCCACTCAGTCCTAGGATCTACATGTTCATGTGTGTATGCAGGCTGCTTCTGCAAGGAAGAGCCATTCTCAGAGAGGATCTATAATGTGCAATTGAGGCAAAAGCCCCAAAGGGAGGTAAGCCATTCTGGAAACATTTCCATCCTCCAAACCACCTTTAGACTTTCCTCAACAGGTAAATTTCTAAGATCCCTTTGAAGCTTTGAAGTGGAAAGGCTAGAGAAACTTTGTAGAAAAGAAGACAGAATGGGGTCTTCAGGATGTTGGCTGAGACAATGGGGCAAGAAAATCAAAATCAGGTATGCCTCTTCCCATAGACATTGCCTCCCCCTACCTTCTCCTCCTGTCCTAACTGTTCCTGTGCCCCCTGTCCTAGTCACTCAATGTCTAGCATCTAGCCTCGGAACTGGGGGTAACTTCTAAGATGATAAGGCATAAAGAAAGGAGCAGGAAGGAAGGAAAGAGAGAAAGAAAGGCCAGAGAGAAGGGGGGGGAGGTGAAAAAGGCTGCGGTAGGAGGAAGGAAGAGGAGAGCTGCAAGGGGGAGGCGGAACAATGAAGGTCTCAGGCCGTCAGAGGCGCACGGTTCCGGCGGCACGTCCGTCCAGCCCGCCTGCGGCCAGCAGCTGCACGCTTCGCAGCGTGTGGGCGCTGAGTCACTGTCCCAGAACAGCAAGCCGCGGTGCAGGTCGAAGGGGGAGGGGGCTGGTTGGCATTTGCAAACTTTTTTTTTTCTTCTTTCCTCTTTCATTAAGGCTGTGTGCTGACTCCCACGTAGGAGAACTTATTAAACCGCACGTACTGCCTCTTGGCTCTTGGGGCCAATCCGAGGCGGTCGGCAGGGGGCGCCACAGGCTCGCTTACAGGCCCACCAGCTTGCTGGGAGCTAGAGCGAAGAGAGGACTAGGGTGCTAGTTCCCGAGATACACGAACGTTTTGCTGGTGTAGCTTTTAATTTTGACACTCGCAGCTGCCGGAGTAAACTCCGCACTAGAAGCCTCGAGACACCCAACTATCCCAGGAACGCTTTCGCTCAGGGTTCCATGAGCAATTCCATAAAACTGGGCCTCGATTACGCAAGACAGGGAGTCCAGTCTCGCCTCCCCACTAAGGCTCATCCTATCCAGCCGCTCCTGGCCGCCACGCTAGGCGGTGACCTCGGGCGTCTCAGCGAAACTGATTCGCACCCAGGACACGCGCTCTGCGCGCCCCTCATGGAGCTCGTGACAAATAAGCTCTGTTAGGTCAGAGCTCTGACCGGTCAACTCGCACCTTCACTTCCATCCCTCCTGTCCAATACCGGCGGCTAGACCCCAAGTTTCCGAGCAATCGGGAGCAGGACCCTCCCTGCTTGGATGCGTGAATCGAGAATGAATCAGCATTGAGACAGTTTATTGGTTTGCAGTTCGCGTATCACCCATTTTATGTAAATAGATTATAGAGACACAATGTTTCCTTCTTCCACAGGCAGTAACCAGGCACTCTATTTTACACATGCACGCGCGCGCTCACACACACGGTCCACGAACCAAACAATGTTACACCTCGCTGAGACATTCACGTCTTAAAATAGGGGGAAGGGACAATATAATTGCTTTAAAATGCCCTTAATACAATATATAACGTACAAAAATATCTCTATATATTTGAAGTTACAAAAAAAAATCTTGACAGCAACAAACTTAAATATTGATAGTTACCTCTGTATGTACAACACGCATTGCACTTTTCCTCTCTAGGTTTGTAAAGTTCAAGTAATATTGGGGCTTGCGCCCCGAAGGGTGACACCCCATGAGAAATAAGTTTGTGAGCGGGCAAAGCAGTGGCTCAGACCCCTGCTCCGAAGGTCTCAGCATTTATTTCTTAGTTTCTCCTCTCCCTGAGCCTGGCACTCCCTCGGATTCCTCTGCCCTCCCGGGGCACCCAAGTCTCATGGGGTGAAGAGAGCGCTCAGCCCCGAAGGAGAAGGGGCTCTGCAATGCCGGGGCTCGAGGCCAAACGGTGCCTTCTGGACTCCAGGTATCTGCAAGACTGTCTCAGCCTGTTCCCCCGAAGTCCTCTACTCTGGGAAGCGCCAGTGGGACGCTTGCGCGACTGTTCGATGCTGTCACGGGAGCCTAAATCCTAAGGAGAGTGGAAAGCACTTGGTGCACCCGGGAGTCCCGAGATGCGCGTGCCTGTGGCTCGGAAGACATCAGAGTCCGGCCCTGGCTCGCCTCGAGCAAGGAACGACGGCGCCGGCGGCCATAGCCTTGGGGGCTGATCTTGCTTCTGGGGGCGACACCGTCCTTGTCCTTGTCTGTGAACTGGTAGATCTGGTGTGCCAGCTTCTGCACCGTGCACGTCCCGAAACGGCAGCCAAAGCTCCGGAGGCCCTGGAAGTTATTCATACTCTGGCGGTAGCGCTTGACTCGAATGCGGGCAGCGTCCGGACTGCTGGGAACGGGAAAGAAGGCTACTTGAGACCCTATCAAGCAGGGCTTTGGCCCCAGTCATCAGGAACGAGAGTTATTCTAGGACCCGAGGGAGTTGAAAATTGCTCCGACATCCGAGCTGCAAATCCAGCCCCTGTATGCCCAGGGCCAGGACAGAGGAAAGGGATAACTCCTCCGGCACATCCCCCTCCCTGCACCGGGCATAGTTACCTGATCTGAGGGCTGTGAGAAGCGCCCTTCACGTCCTGGGGCCGTATGAGAGTCTGGACACGCTCGGCCTTCACGTCAGCGAGCCCGGTGGGGTAGCTGCTGGACACTCGCAGTTCCCTCTTTCCTCGACTTACAGCCCACTTATTCCATCTAGAAAACACAATCAGAGGAATTCGGGTAAGTTCAAGCGACTTCCCGCCTGCACTCATTCTCATTCACTCTTTTATTTTTTTAATTATTTACGGTGCTAGAGATCCAGGCCAGGGCCTCGAGAATGCTAAGCAAGCTCTCTATCCCTGGACTACATCCTCAGCCCTCCCACTCACTTCTAACCCCCGCGAGACCAACGATCAGTTTTCCCTCGTCTGCCAGGTATCATGACTGGGGAAGACGCTGCCAGGACTTACTTCTTTCTGAACTCCGATGCCACGTCGAGCCGAGCAGTGTCGGCGCCTAGGAAGGCGAGTGAGCCCAGGAACATCAGAGCGACGGAAAACAGTTTCATTCTGGCAATGCACAGACACTGAAAAAGTAGAGAGGACGAGCATGAGCACTCTGGTCTGCTGCACCGCCCAGGCCGGGCACAGCCGGAGGGCGGGGGTCCCCGGAGCCGGCAGTCTCAGCCCCTTGTTCTGCTTGGTTTAGACGCTTATCTCCCCTGGGCTCAGCGACGCCAGAGGCGTTTGCACCCGCCGATGACCCGCCCCACAGGGGAAGCAGCTGCACAGCACCAGGCTCCCAGAGGTTCCCTGCTCAATGCTTGAAACTTGGTTTGTGAAACAGAGACTAGGTCTCTGGAGCTCCATCTGTATGCATGAGCGGGATTCAGAGATGCGGGGTGTACCCCGCAGAGAATTACCCAAAGTGAGTTATTTTCCTCATCCAGCGCTCCCAGTTTCGGGTTTTGGCAAATGCTCCCCCCTCCCGCTTTAATTCGCTGGGCCTATGGCACCTACCTGCTGAAGGGGTGATCTGCCAAGTTCTTGGAGGGAAAGGTCCGAGACGTCCCTGTCTGGCAGTAGCAAAACACTGAAGTCCAAGACTGTGATGAGAAGCCAGAAGAGGTAAGGCTGAAGCTGTTCTGCCTAGTGTCACCAAGAAACCACTGAGTGGCCAGCACTGGTTCCTGCGCTTTATAAGAGCCGAGGGGGCGGGGCCTGTTCTGCCCTCGCGCCCTCCCTTTCCTCCCGCGCGCGCGCCCCAGCGCAGTGCTTTCCCTTGAGTGTGGGGTTGGGGGGACTCTTGTGCTTGTGCCCGGAGGGCTCAGAGATGGGCTCCAGGAGATTGGTGGAGAAACTGCCACAAACCTAATTCTCTGACATGGGTTCAGGTGATAAGCAGGGGCGAAGGAAGACCGGGAAAACTTTTTGGGGGGGGAGTGGGAGTGGGGTTCTTATCCCAGGACCTGTACAACTCAGTGAGGGGCCTTCTGGCATCGAGTTGCTAGAGCTAGAGCCGGAGGACTGTGCGCGTGGCCTGAGCCCGGGACCTGGGGAGCTGTGGCTTCGAGTGGACCGCGCCCCCTGCCGGCTCAGCGCCTGACCTAGACTCGACCCCAGACTCCCGCGGAGCCTCGGGGCAGGGTACGGATAAAGAACCCAGGAGAGAAGAGTGGGACGCTAGCCCCCGAGAGCGGCTGAGGCCCCGAGATTTCTGGATGGGCTACTGAGATTTCGCAATAAGAACAAAGCTCGAAGGGCTGAATTGAGAATTGGGATTTGGAGGGGGTAGTTATCCGAAGTTTCAGAATTTACATGCCTATTTGGAAATACGGGAATAACCAAAATTAGGAAGAAAGATACCGTTTTATCTCCCTCCCACCTTTGTAATCCAATTATGCCTTATAAGGTTATAACCTGGCTGCCCTCATCCACCATTGTAAACGTGAGGATTGACTGCCAGGGAGCACACTAACGCTTCACATATGTTAATCGCTTTACAGTTTAAAAGCACAGCCACATTCCGATTTCCTTTGATCTTTATACTAACCCCTGAGTTAGGGAAGGAAGGTAGCATTACTTTCCCCGATTCACCATGTATAAAATTGAAGTTCAGAAAGGGGAAGTGTATTGGCTAAAGCGACACTAAATGTAGGAAGCAAAAGAGTCCTAACTCGATCCGGCAAGCAAGCAAGGTGCTTTGGGGCGCGGCGGCGTGGATTCTTCTAGGCTGGGGTCACCATTTCTTCAAGGGGGAGAGAAGAGTCCCAGCCCCCGCCCGAGGATATGTGCCTATTCATGATGAATCAGTTCAAACACGTTTGTCACCCATTTGTGCTATTCCCTCCCAGCTTCTCCACTTCACTTTCTTGCTTACTTTCTGGGGGCCAAATTAGGGAGGAAAGGCTCAGCCCCGTGGGGCTCCCTACTTTTTACATGTGGGTCTCTGGTGTCCTGTCACTCACAACCCCAATCAAATGTGCTGAAGTCCAGCAACTAAATTGAGGCCCAGGGTGTGAGACCACTGACTAAACTGGCTTCTTGTCCTTGTTCCCTGACAATTCGGACATGGGCAAGTCACGGTCTCTCTTTAGTGTCCGCATCTAGAATGTGTTCCCTGCAGATCTCCAAATTCCCCACCTCCCCTGCCATAATCAGTCTGAGATTCAGGGAACTGGATCCCCCGACCTTGTCCACAATGTTCCTGGGCTGAGCATACTGGCTCAGCCTCCTTTTCACTCTCAGGACTGAACCATGGACTTTGCACCTGGGGAAGAAATGGCCGCGACAAGGTTATTATGAGGGCTCTTGCCAGAGGGAATCACTAGACGTGAGTTCCAGCTGAGAGCTGGGACAGACTCCAGGTTCTGGCTCTGGTAAGGACTTGGAAAGCTCAGGGTTGGAGGGGTGGGTGCAGCGCGGCGAATTGGCGCGTTTCAGGTCGCCTGACTGGCCTCAGGACCGTCACCACAGAGACCGGCATGTCAGGCGGCTGGTCTGTCTGCACCGCAAACAGCAGGTATTACTGTTCGCTTGCTGTTTCCAGAAGCCTCCCCAGTCTAACTATTGTTTTTGTTGTTCTCTCCCATTTTCCGTCTCTTCCTTTCACTTCGTACCCAGGATCTTCTTCACACAGATCCTGTCTAAGATGATGGGCTGTCAGTCTCTAAGGATGCAACCTACCTGTCACCAGCTTCCAGCTGAGTCCGCACCAGATCAGGTTTTACTTTCATTTCCCCAGCATGCGCCCAGGAGGTCAAGGACAGCTGGGCGTTGGCCCACTGCCAGGGACCGTCCCGTGATCTGGACTCGTTCCTTCCAGTCCCCACCAACCCTTAGAGGTTCCGTCTACATAGAACTCTGCGGCTGTACCTCGTTACTTCCTCGCTATGTCCTTCAGGTAGACGGTGATTCTTTGAGGGAAACTGAGATCTAGCTTCGAGCCATGATCTTGAAACGTGATCTTGGCTCAGACGTCTTTTTGAGCTGCAGGCGGCTTCAACAAGGAAAATAATCCAGGGGTGGAAACAGACTCAGTGGCTTGGCTCCATCAAGCTAAAGTGTCTGCGCCAGCGGTGTCACGTCTGTGCCAGTATTCCCACCTGAGAGCCTTGGCACGGGTCTTATCAGCCTGGGTGCTGTTTGCCTCTCATGCAATTAGCAGGTCTGTCGCTTAATAAAAAAAGCCAATACTTTCTTTAATTTCTATATTGGCAATTCAGAGGATTTTATTAGAAAATCCGTATCTTGGAAAGTGTGTGTGCCTGAGTGGGGCAGCAGGGGTCAGATTGTCCCCAAAACATCTTAGGGCCTAAGTCCAAAAAAGATAATGAATTTGCCAAATCTGGACATCCATCCCACCCCCCCACCCGGTGGAAACTAGTTGCCTTACTTAATCATCCTTAAAGGAAAAAACAACAACAACAACATAAATGCAGCACACACAAAAAAACAACACAGGAGTTCTCTTTCTGGTGATTTGTTAACACAAGAGTTTCCTCCATTCAAATTGCAATGATTGTAGATTCCCACTGACCATGGACAGTACAAGGAAGGAAGGAAGGAAGGAAGGAAAGGAAGAGATATCTTAAATATCTTCCTGGCAGGAAAAGAGAAGAAAAAAAAAAGAAAAGAAATCCTGGTTAATGAAGACCCACTAATTTTGTGTGTGTACACCAAATAATTTTGAAGGTGAGATTATAAATAAACTCCCAAAGCATTGTAATAAATGTGTATATCCTGACATGGTATGTACAAACATAAGTATACATACTGAAAGTTTGTTGAATGATGGTGTTTCAGTTTCTTCTTTACATTCTCATTGAGTTTTTTAGGCCGTAAAGTCAAGCATTATTCTCAATAATGTTTGGAATTTAAAAAATTGTGTGGTGGTGGTTTCTCAGTTAACACTGTGGACACAATCCCTAAAGTTAGGGTAATCATACTTAACTCTTTCAGAAAAATAATAGGAAATAACTATTAATAAGAATAACTAAAACACAAGTAGTACACAAGTAGAGGAGTACATTGCATAGTGATTGCAGATGCCTCTTTTTTAAAAACAGGAAATTTTATGGTGCATTTAGTATTCATGTAGCTCAAAATGTCTGTTAAGTTCAGAGGTTGTTTACAACATTCTCTTGAAAACAAGTTTCAAGATGCATCCTGAAATCATAACATCAAGTAGTTTACAGAAAGGACACAATCAGCCTTGCAGATTTGGTCTCATAAGGAAAACTAAAGCAGGATATAAAGGCCAGGGAACTTTTTTTGATATCTCTGACTTCTCAAAGGAACTAATAAAAATATAGATTCTTTCCATAAATGAACACATACATAAAATCAATTAAAGTATAAAATAGGCATACAAGTTCAGGAGATTGACCAAGTTGAAATCTCTGACACAATAAAAAGTACCATTTCTTTAACTTATATCTGCTTTGGAGTGGCGGGGTCAGGGAGCACAGTTAACCTCTGCTTTTAGTGCACAATATTTTTCCGAGCATCAGCATGAAGAAAAGTATGTTTTTGGTGCTCCTCACCATTCCCCTCCTCCTCCTCCTCCTCCTCCTCCTTCTTCTTCTTCTTCTTCTTCTTCTTCTTCTTCTTC